TTAATTTTTAAATACATATTAATGAGTTATACACAAATTTCTATGCAATATAAATCTTTATCTTTTTTAAATTTATCTCAAATCTACAACAAAAAATATTTTTTTACAATGTAAGATTTACAAAATTTATAAAATGATATCCTATATCTAAATATATTGTATATATATATATAACAAATTGTACATTTTAAGATAATAAAAACTATTGTTTGGCAAGTATTTTGGCTATTGCAGCGGTATCTTCTGGATAATGTTTTCTTAAGCTTTCATTTGGTACGTAATAAGTGCCTTTGAAGCTGGAGAAATATCTTCCAATTTCTATGTTATTGATTCTTTTGGGTGGGCATATGGATAGTTGATCTAAAATAGATATATTTTACATTGTACAGATAAAAGATCATAAAACACATATGTCATTTATAAGAATGCTACTAATAATTATACCTTGTTGCACATAACATACTATATCATTCTCGGCGAGAATAATGTAGTACAGTTGATGGCCACTGGCTGAAAATTGTTGACGTAGGCAAATGTGACAAAAATCATCCCATTGATGTAGATATGGAAACATAATAGTCTCCTTAAATTTGTTTTGAATTTCTATGTCATATCCACGATGCCACCCAATGATTACACCGTCATGATTATCAAGAATAAAAGAATATTTGTCTATATGCGTTACGATCATTCCAACGGCAAATTTAACATCATTTGTCCTTCTTTTTAATGATTCCTCTACTGCGTTAGATCTAACCTGTGGAAACATAATATTATATTCAATCGATTTCTTGTTACACAAGCAATTTTTAAAATAATGTAATGATTTAGTTATAAATAATAATAATTAATGTAATTTTTTTATATATTGATATATGAATACATTAAATTACATTATACGATGTGTTATAACTTACCTCTATTGTATTTGTAATATTTTTGTATTCAATTTCAATATTTATGTCCTCAATATCTTCCATATTATAGAAATCATATTCGTAAGTGAAAAAGAAATGTACATGAAGATATATTACATTAAAAATACTCATCATGACTTCTATTTCCTAAAGAAAAAAATATATAAAGAAAATCTTGATTACAGACAAAAGATAAAAAGAAGTTCATTGCTTTCACTCATTTATTTAAAATGTATCGAGACTCATTGAAGTAACGTGTTATTTATAAGACATAATTGAGTGATATTTTTATTAAATACTTAAAATTAAATATAAATAATTACCAACCATAATATCATTTGATAGAAGTTTAATATCTTGGCCCCTCTCTCTGATAATGTTCGATGGATAAAGTAGATTGGGGTCGTCGCTCACATAAAAGAGTTCGGCATTATACAAATTGTTTGTATTACTAAAAATAAGAAAAAGATATTAATACATACATATAGATATATGCGTTTATTAAATTTTGATTATTTTTCTGTATATGTATGTATAACGCATGCATATGTATACGTATGTATGCGCTAACGTTTTGTTAAATATTCGAGGAGGAAATATCTCTATGCTACGATCCTTTGTTTCATCAATTTAAAACAAACAAGTAACCAAAAAAATCGTAGAAATGTTCTTATGAAATGTATACATATATATAAATATACATTATATATGTGTTGAAAAAGTATTAGCAATAAACTAAAATTATATTTACTAGTTTGGTTTCCATATGATTGCAGTAGTTGAATTTCGTCTCATTGTCAGAATGCTCTGTATGCCGAGTCTTCTAGCTACGATGTGATACATGACAGTCAATAGATCTATTCGAAATCTTACTGCAATCTATATTAAATTATATTAAAAGTTTGTTACTTTAAATCATATTAAATGAGAGAAATCGAGTGAAAACTAAATGTGTAGGGATATTTTTCATTCTACACATAACATTAAAATAAAAACAAAAACAAAAAGGAAATTATAAGATAAAACGAATGTTTAATTTTTACAATCTCTAAATAGATATAACTGATTGCATATAATATTTTACAAAATTGTAAAAACCATAAAGATTGAAAGTTACAAGAAGAAAATACGGTTATATCGTAAGTATGAAAAGATATAATTATTTATGAAAGGCAAAAAGAATATTTTATAAGCCAATTTTAAAACAAATAAATGTAAAAAAAGTGTTTGAATATAATTATCGTACTATTGCAAATTTTAAAATTAAAATATAAAAAATTATGCGTGCACTTTAATTTAATGTTCTTTATGTTTTACCTTCACACTGTAAAATAAACATCTTTTTTATTACAAAATCAAAATAATACGAACTAAGAAAGCCTACTAAATATAACAGTAAAAAAATTTACTTGCAACCTATATTTTTAATAATTTGAAATAATTTATTCAAAAATAGAACATACATATACATTTTTAAGTATGTTATAACCAAAGAAAATAATAAAAAATAGGATAATCTTTATGCTCATAATTTAATAATGAAACCTAGATAGAAAAAAGTTAAAATTGAAATCTATAAAACAATGAGCTACGAGCAATGGCAAGCTATGTTTATCGGTGCGATACTTGGAATTGATCGATGTAGATTATAGTGACAATCATTGAGATGCATAAAGATTTTGGCTTTACTAAATCTTGATTTTTTACTACAATCCTATTAAGTTTTAACATCAGAAACATGCTTATTTTCCACTGATTCACATGCACGCACGCGCGCGCACACACACACACACACGCACACACACGCACACACACACACCCACACGCACACGCACGCACGCACGCGCGCATACACACACACACACACACACAACAATTTTAACCTTACTTTTTTACTATTGTTTTTGCATTTAACTATTGCTTTGTTAAGTGAAGAAAATCGACCAAGTGTAAAATAGATATAAATAAATTAATATAAAAAAACTTATAAACAGAAAATACCTCTGATAATATTTCTTTTCCCAAAACTTCTGAAACAATGTTATCTGCTGGAATCTTTTACACGTGGACTTAAAATTTATGATATCCTTTACACGGATGCTTTCGATTTCCAGAATAATAATAATCACATCGTCGGGCAAGTGTGTTATCGTAGCCATCGGAGAAAATTCAACAATACACAAATCAACTAATTATAATTTATATACTTATATGTATATATATATATAACTGATCACGAATGGAGCACAAAGCTTATTGTAGCTTCTAGGACTGTCTTCATGCGTCTGTAACGTGCACTTCGTTTGATATGGTGTAGACTATAGATGCACTTTGCTTAGATTAGAAATGCTTTGAAACGTTTGACTTGCCAATCAAGATAAAGAGAACATAGATTTCTTGGTTTTAATTGGTCGATGAAACTAAAAAGGCAAGGCAGAAATGAATAATTGTTTTTTCACTGTTCTAGAAATTTATGGTGTTTAAGATTATGCTCTTTTGTTATTTCAAAATGATTTTTCGCCCTTTTCAGTTGCCCATTCTTATACAATAAAAGAAAATTTGTTTGGGATTTTAATTGATCGACAGCTTGAATTTTGAAAAATTATTTAGTTAACAAAAGAGATTCTTTTCTTTTCCACAAATTATTCTCAGAATTAGAAAAATTATAAAATGTTAGAAAGAAATTACGCGAAATATCTTAAAAGCAAGTTTTAATAATTCAAGAATGATATCAGTTTTAAGGGGATCCTTAAGAGGACGCCGGACTGTCCTGTTTTACCGGCCATAATAATTAATATTTGCTTAATATAAAAGTTTTGCAGTTTGTATGCTCAAAATAGAATAACTTCGTCTTCGGAATTGCATGAAAGAATATAGGTGAACGTTTAAAAAAGTACCATAAACTCGTGAAGTCTCATCTTTGTTTCAATGTGTACTTAAATCGTGGAAAAAGACGAATCGTTTCAACTAAAAAAAAGATTTCGATGTGCAAAATAATAATCTTTTGGTCGGTAAAACAGACGAGTTTGTGCATCCCCTTAAGAGATTAATTTCCGGAAGAGTAAATCAAGAGAAACACACAAAAAGACTAGTTTTTTAGCAAAACTACTGTACAGCTTCGTTAAAAATAAAATTTAGTGCACAGTCCAAAAAACAACCACTAAATATAATACTATTATCATTCTCGCGAACGCTTATATCTTATATTTTAAAAGCAATAGATTGACTAACTGAGAGAAAATGATTTGCTTAGTATAAAAATTAATGAGATAAAGAAATGATTACGCATTTTGATAGAAATACACAGTCTCGAAATAACATATGCTTACTCGACAAATCACCGTCGCGCAATATATGCGCTGTGATATCTTAAGATAATAAAAATCGGCTCTATACCATTAGTGTCGTGCGCATCGAATTATATCAAATCATAATTGATATCAAATGAACTTCTTCTCTAATATCGCAAAATTCAAGACCTCTCATTTTCAAACAACGCTTTCTGAGATTAATAGAAGGACTTCAGTAAACTTTCGATTCGTTACATTTTCTTATTTAATCAACGGAAAGGATGCAAATTGAAATCGGGGATATAAAAAGAACATCTATTCAAAAAAGAAAAAATTCTATTACCGGTATATTTACCACTTTTGCACGCTGAATCTATTACAATCTTATTTAATATACACTCAACCTTGGGGATCCTTATTTGCGTCATGCGTTATTGATCCAAAATTCTTTCACCGGTATATTCACCGCTTTTGCACGCTGAATCTATTACGATCTAATTTAATATACACTCAACCTTGGGGATCCTTATTTGCGTCATGCGTTATTGATCCAAAATTTATGTCTAATTGTAATTGAAACTGTTTCAAAAACTTAATTGTGCATTGCGAGTGGACATTTAATTAAATTTTTGACATGCATTTAAGTAAAAGTACTTCACGGATTAATTGCATTAAAATTAGCATTCGCTGCTGTAAACCATTGGCGTTTTATTTTGTTTTTGCTTTTGTATCAATAAATATTGAGTTTTAATGGAATAATTTTTATTTTCTTTCCTTTCCTTTTTTTTGGTATTATAAACAAATATTAAATTTTCCGTAAATCTTTATCTTATTTTTCTTCTCGCTATTGTTCTTTTATCAAAATCTTTTTATTAAAATCATTTTCCCCTTATTATTTTTATATTTAATTATAATTATTTATTTGCAAAAAATTGCAAAAATCTGATAAATAAATCATGTATGATCGCGAAATACGCGTGAAATTATCGGAATAGACGAATGTCAATATTCGTAGCTCAGACATTGCACAGTAAACTTTAGAATTCAAATTTTTAATTTTAATTTAATAATATATTTGAGTGTTAAATTCTATTTACGATCTTTTCACATTGTTCCTTTTTTTATTAAACATAAAAGAAAACAATCTGATCTTTTTTACTTACAAACACATTTTACCCATTTATAAATTTTGAAAGGTTTTATTTTATTTTATTAATTATTATTGTAATAACCAGTCAAAATCTAAACTTGTAACGTTAGAATTTTTCCCTTATTGCTCTGACTATTAATCTTCGAACTTTTGTAACATCCGCGATAATGATACGCATTTATGTAGACATACATACTCACGCTCATGTAATGTATAGTTTTTCTGTCCGTACTTTGGAATATAATTATTGTTGATCATAAAGTTATTATTACATACTGCATAATTTAATGACATTATATGTATAGTTTTTACTTTGCTTTAATTTTTATAATAAAAGAAATTCAATATAATTTATAATTTCTTAATTAATAAGCCTTCTTTCTTTTCATTTCTGGCCTCGAAAGGTCGCATAAGACTCTATCTCAGGTAAGAGAGATTTACAGCACAAAATCAATTCTTCTGGTCGTAGACCTTCATTGTAAGCCTAACTGTATTTTTAATTTTAACCTAACTGCGTGTGTATGTTTGTTCGACCCGAGTAATATGCTTTAAAATATCTGATTTTGGGAAATGTTTTGTTATGCCTTTCCATTGACCTATTCTTCTCTAGGTATGAACATAATATCAGTGAAACTTTCGTTACCTGAGACTAAAATAATTATTTGAGTGCATCTTTACCCCCACTCCTTAAATAAAGGCAAACGCTCGGTCTAGATATACTTATGTCTATGGTCTTTACTTCGTTGTCTAGTCTTTCTCATTTTTTAAATTTCTATTTTATCTTTGTCTAAGAAACTTTGTAAAATTCTATACTTACTAGACATCATATAAATTTATATTTATAGAACTGTTGGAAGTAATATTACAGAATCTATACAGCTAACAATTTTTATTTGTAAAATAAACTTTTTAAAAATTCTCCCACCATTAAAAATCCAAATTTTATATTTAAAGCATTTCGACATTCTTTTTTTAATCTTTTTAATTTTCTAATACTTCATTATATATTATGTCACATACAGTTATATAAGTTACTATAGTTTTGCTACAGAAAGAATTATTCTTATTATGCATTTTTTTTTATTAACTTAATAGAAATTATATTAAACATTTATATATAAAAGATTTATATATAAAAGATAATCTAAAATCATTTTCATAATTTATATAATTGATTTCTAGATCTATCGTTATCAATAATTTATGTAATTTATATGAATACCTAATTCAGAGAATATAAATTCTTCAAGAATACACATAATTTTCTTTGCTTCTGTTTAATTGATATTGTTAGCTCTAAAAAGAAAATTATTCTGAAGACATCGAGAACATTGAACGCAAGATGTGATCTTATTAAAGCAAGATAGTACTTTTGCACAATATCATTTAGCCACGAAATTTATAATTGAGTGCGACATATGTGGTTGGATATA